TCATAAACAATATGTACCGGTATACCTGAGCAGAATTGCCATTTGTGCAATTTGTATCCAGTAAAACATGTGCAGTAATAAGAATAATATGTATTATTAATACAGTTGTGTTCACATCCTCCATTTTTATAGTCACATCCTATTACACAGTCATCAGACAGAGCCAGATCTAGTTTAGATGAACACATGTACATTTTTGTATAAAGTTTCAAGTTTTAATGGCATATATATACACAAGAGTCAATGATAAGAGACATGATAACTAACCAGATAGGGTAATCAGTAGCAACACAACACCACACAAACTCAATAGCTTCATTGTCAAGAACACAAGAAGAGTTGTTTCCTCTTTATTTCCTGATAGTATAAGGCGAGGCACCTTTATTCATCTCCTGAAAAGTAATATATTTCATAAAAGGAATTCATTAGGTCATTCAAAAAGGGCACCAATACAACAGCAGTGAATATCTTAATGACAAACTGATGCATGGATTATATTTTAGATCTAATTAACTTAATTACCGGTACATGTGTACTTTAAAGACAGTTATTTATTATCATAATACACATTTAACAAATAAAAACTTAAAGTTCAGCTCTGTAAGACTGCAAAGTATTTATATATTAAATGCATGTCAGTATAATTTATCAGGAAAATTTTCTTGATCAAAATTATCATCATACAATGGATTATCTTTCTTGACTCCATCAATGGTATCTGCTTTTGACTGGTGTGTCTTTTTACGTTTGATGATCACAAGAACAGATATCAAAATAATCACCAGCAAAGCAAAAGTTGTAGCTGAAAAAAATTATAAAATAAATTTTAACAATTAATTTTGCTCACCTATAAAAATGATTGTTATAATGTATGCCACATCAGAATTATTATCAATAGGCTGTTCCTGTAAATGCATGCAAATTATCTATACATAAAATTAATTCTAATCCTTACTTTAATGCATACAGTACTTGTAACTCCACCCGAAAAGGTCTGAGATTCTATAATGCTTGTACCTAAACTTGTGTCATCTTGTAATAATTTCACTCTTTAATATTAACATTATGAGATTAAAATAATTTACTTATAATGTCACACTTAAAACCATCATTGGATACAGTGAATCCTTCTTTACAAGCACAATAATATGAGCCATCATTATTGATGCAATTTTGTTCGCATCCTCCATTATATGATAAGCATTCATTAACATCTATTGATTTTGACACAAATGAACTCATGAAATTGTCAACTCAGAGAAGTAAAGACTAACCTATGCAAGTATGACCATCATTGTCCAAATGATGTCCAGAGAAACAATAACACCTGTAACTACCTATATTGTTCTCACAGTAATGTGCACATGCGTTATCTTCCATTAAACACTCATTGATATCTATTACATCATAGGAATTAGTATACATGTACTGAGAAAACTACATACTAACCATGACAAGTGTAATTATCATCACCCAAGTAATATCCCGTTTGGCACTTGCATTGGTAACTTCCTTCAGTATTGTGACAAATATCTCCACACAAGTCACCTTTATGTAGACATTCATCAATATCTAACTCAGATCAGTAATGCTAATTATAATTCAATTATTATTACCTATACAATATAAATGGTCACATAAATGATAACCAGTAGTACAAGAACATTCAAAACTTCCATTAGTGTTAGTACAGTTGTGATCACACCCTCCATTATTAGTATTACATTCATTTATATCTATAATATAGAGTCAAAGCTACATATCAGGAATTTTCAATACCTTCACAATTTTTGCTGTCAATCAACTGATATCCTTCAAGACACTGACAATGATAACTACCTGGAGTATTAATGCATATATCTGAGCAGCCTCCATTATTGTCATTGCATTCATTGATATCTGANAATAAATCAAAAATTATATAAAAGAAATTATGCAAACCAAAACAATTATGTTCTGCCCATAGCTCATATCCTGTATTGCAGGAACATAAGTAGGAGCCAATGGTGTTATTACACTTTTGATCACAAAAATTGTGCTGATTACGACATTCATCAATATCTATACATGAATCAATAAAGCATCAACACAAAACAATTCCTACCAATACAAGTTGTGTTAGTTGTGGTGTTCAAAGTGAATCCATTGTTACATACACAGTAAAATGAACCATCAGTATTGATACAAGTATGTTCACAAATGCCAGGAATAGTTTGACACTCAATAATATCTAATTAATTTGAAGACTCCATTGCAAATTTTGCACTCTATAGTCATACCTTGACATGTGATTCCATTAGATTTCAAAAGATAACCAGTATGACATGAACAATTAAATGAACCAGGTTCATTGATACAAACTTGATCACATGTGTCAGTACCCAATGCACATTCATCATTATCTGTGATTAAAATAGCTAGAATCTTAATATTACTGGTATCTTAACCTATGCATGTATGATTGTCATTGTTTAAAAAATAGCCAGATTCACATTCACAGTAGTAACTGCCTTCTGTGTTAATACATGCGTGATTGCAACCAGAAATGCCAAGATCACATTCACCAATATCTGTATTAATAATAAATAATAATAATTATAATTAATTAATGACTACTTATGTACCTTTGCATGTTATTCCATTGTCACTTAAAGTATAACCAGTGTTGCAGCCACACTGAAATGAACCCACAGTATTATTGCAAATCTGATCACAAAGAACTATACTGTGTGAGCATTCATCATCATCTGAAATTAAAATCAGTTGAACAAATGACTTAGTAAAATTAAGCTCTAACCTATGCAAGTGTGGTTATTGCTACTATTAAAAATATACCCAGTGTAGCAACTACAGTAGTAGCTACCATCAGTATTAGTGCATTGTTGAGTGCAGTTGTCAGTACCTAGGTCACATTCATCAATATCTACATAAAAAGCATAATGAAGTCAGTCCTTAAAATAAAAAAATTACCTAAGCAGAAAATGCTTCCATTGTAGCCAGGATTACAAGTGCAATAGTAGCTTCCATTTGTATTAGTACAAACATGTTGACAACCTCCATTGTTAGTAAGACACTCATTAATATCTATAAATTTCAATCAATATTGTATCATTTTTATAAACCAACTTACCAGTACAGTCTGTAGTGCTGCCATTAATGAAATCATATCCATCATAACATTCACAATTAAAACTTCCAGGAGTATTAATGCAAGTTTGAGAACAGCCACCATTATTATCCTCACACTCATTGATGTCTGTAAATAAATCAATATCATGAGCATTGTACTAATGTATTATACCAGAGCAATTCTCAGCAGTAACTGTCAAATTATAATACCCAATCTTACAGCTACAGTAGTGACTACCCATAGTGTTGGTACAGGTTTGATTACAGCCTCCATTATTATCATTGCACTCATTAATATCTAGAACAATATATGCATCTATGCTTATATACTTTTGCAGTTAACAAACCTGAACAATTATGCCCATTAAATGATAAAGTATATCCAGTTTTACATGAGCAGTCATAAGATCCAATAGTATTATTACAATAATGATCACAACCACCATTGAATGAGTTACACTCATCAATATCTAGAAATGAATGGCAAAAAGACTTTAAATCTTAATAAGTTAACAAACCTGTGCAATTTGTGTCAGAATTATTAAGTGAATAGTATCCTGATGGACAGAGACATATGTAGCCACCTTCTGTATTTTCACACCTTTCATTGCATTCTCCATTATTAAGATTACATTCATTAATATCAATACATGTTGCTCCATCACTGTCTAATTGATAGCCAATATTACAGCTACAATTATAGCTACCAATAGTATTGTTACACATTTGAGAACAATCAGATGTTCCATCCATACATTCATCAATATCTTTTAAATAAATAATGGCATTTATAAAACAGATTTTTTGCATACCATAACAAGTTGCATTTGTTGTGGTATTCAATTGGTATCCAGAATAGCAATAGCAAGTGTAAGAACCTTCTGTATCAGTACAACCTTGTTCACAATTATCAGTATCAGTTTGACATTCATCATTGTCTTATATCAGATTATTAATCAACAAGTAAGATAGACCCCATACAGTACTTACTTTTACATGATATTTCATTGGCAGCTAAGGCATAACCAGTAATGCATGAACAATGAAATGAACCAGGATCATTGATACAAACTTGATCACATGTGTCAGTACCCATAGTACATTCATTGTGATCTGTAAATGATAATGAACATGTAAATAAATAACTAAACTGATATATTCTAACCTATACAAGAATAACTGTCATTGCTTAAGCTGTACCCAGAATCACAACCACAGTAGTAGCTACCATCAGTATTAAAGCATGTCTGATTGCAGTTAGATACACCATAATCACATTCATCTAAATCTAAAGATGTTGATTAGAACTATTATACTGTAAGTATGAAATATACCTGTACAAAATCTACCTCCAGTGTACCCTGTATTGCAAGAACACTCAAAACTTCCATTAGTATTTGTACAAATATGCTGACAGTCTCCATTATCAACTAAACACTCATTAATATCTAATAATAAGTTACAACAAATTTCTAATTTGTTTTAATATGAACCTGTACAGTTTTTGGATTCACTTCCAACAAACTCATACCCATTATAGCAATCACAATGATAACTTCCAGCAGTATTAATGCATGTATCAGAACATCCACCATTATCATCATCACATTCATTAACATCTGAAAAATAAATAAACAGATAATTAATGTCTATATATTTAAACCTGAGCAGTTGTGTCCATCAGTTGTCAAATTAAAGCCACTAGGACATGAGCAGGTATAAGAACCAATATTATTAGTACAAGTATGACTACAACCACCTTTGTAAAAACTACATTCATCAAAATCTAACAAAATTTACCAATAACTAATAATACAATAACTCATATACATACCTGTACAGTTTACATCATTGTTGTCAAGCCTAAAACCCACAGGACATGAACACTCATAACTACCATCAATATTTACACATATTTCTTCACATCCTCCATTATCATCACTACATTCATTAATATCAGTACAGTTATGGTTATCTTTGTCTAGTAGATAACCATCGAAGCAGCTACAGTTATAGTATCCATTTTCATCAGTGCATAATTGTGAACAACCTGATATTCCTTCATTGCATTCATTTACATCTATTAATCATAAAAATAAAGAATAACAAACAAACCATACTTGAGCAAAACTTCTTGTTTTCTAATGCATAACCATCATTGCATGAACATTCAAAAGAAGAAATTTGATTAGTACATCTTTGTTCACAACCTCCATTTTCATTAAGGCACTCATTAATGTCTATAAGTTATGATCAGTATTATTATAATTATACACATTTTAATACCTGAACAGTTTTGTTCATTACTATCTAAAGAGTAGCCACTATAACATGAACAAGTGTAGCTTCCATCAGTATTGGTGCAGTTATGTTCACAGTCACTGTTAATACACTCATTAATATCTATAACAAACTTATGATCATTAATTGTAACCTTTATGGTGTTAATATTACCCTGGCATGTAGTATTGTCACTTAATAGCTCATAGCCATC